TAATGGCAGCTCGGTTAGCAATTTTTGCTTCATTTTTATTAGCATTAGATTCAACTTATGTGGCCAGAAAAATGCTATTCAAGCTGATCAGAACTTACTATTTTAATCAGTTATGAATTCATAGTGTGGTTTTGAAATATGCAGCTGGCAAATTTTCAAATTATTTTGACCAGTTTTACACTACCTGATGGTCAGTCTGTGATGGTTCTTTTCTAAAAATTTATGGCACCAACGACTGAAATAATTAACACTATTACATCAATTATAACATAATTAACATTACACCCCTCCCCCTCTCCCTTTTCACCTCGTTCCCATATCATAGCTTTAAATCAAAGTGCAGTCCTCTAACTATTCAGCTGGTCACTTTTCCATTTGCTTTGACCAGTGATGCATTGTCTGATGGTAATGAGGAACTTTGAAATGCTAGGAACAAACTCTTCGGTATTACGAAAAGCTGGTAGTTTATGGTACGAACGCTGTAGACAGATATCTCAAGTAATTTGACACCAAGACATTCTATCCGTTGCGCCGATTTCCTCCTACACTTTTGAAACTAAGACGCTCACCCACTGAACAAATGATGCAGCTTAATCGCTATATCTGACCCTTATTATGTTGCCCACACATACACACAAAGTAAACACATCCTTACGTTTATACAGTTGATGTGAATTAACAATACAGTATTTATAAATGGCGACATGAAGGCGTCACGACTGAAGCCCTTTCTCGAAAATTGTCCTGAATCGGGGAGAGGATCGAACTGCTTCTCTTCGCATTCAAACCCACTTCTCTTCGCATCCAAACCACTGCACCACCGGTGCTTGTACTCCAGGTTCAACGTGGCGGCGCATCTGCTGCGTATCTGCCTTTCAGAGTAGAATGCACCTTTCTTTTCTTCTCTGCCTCCCACAGGGATTTCCATCTTTTCTCTGACGGCCTTTTGGCCGATTTTTCGCGAGTTTTTTGCGGCAGAACATACATCAAAGTAGCATCACTAACGTGAGATATCCAAACTGATTGTCCTACGATCTAGGTATTTTTGATATATGCGTCTTTAAAACACATAAGTAAGCTGATTAGCATTTATCAATATTGTCTACTACTTGCGCAATTCATCTATGTTTTAAATTATTTTCATCTTTTTTATGTATATCATAATTAATATCTTTATCTTGTTTGCACTTCCATTCTATTATTTCTGGAGTGTTTATATGGCTGGTTCAAGAAAACAAACTTGAGCGATTAGTATTCCAGAGGAAGCACGTTCATTGTTATAATATGCATAGAAATAATACGATGGGAGTGTTGTCATGATGCAAAAGAAAGGGTATTACGTTATCAGATGGAACAATCAGAAGTGCACTGACTGCACTGATTGAAGACTACCTCAACGGCGACATTCTCTCCCATGTGTGAACTTGTCATGTAGAAGATGTCAGCCCTCCTTCGGTCATTTCATGTCCACCATGCACTGTTTCACTTCCTGCCGGAGTGCATTTCTTTGACCACTGCCGCATCCCTGCAATCAGCTGTCCACTCATCTGCCTCAGCATGTGATGTGTGAAAGGATAACCCGGTTTAGGGCCTAAAAAAAGAAGGGACACTTTAATTACAGTGCGTAACTCTTCCTCCAGCTGATCTAAGTAAAGCTTCCTAGAGATAGCCACAGCTTAAACTACACAGTTTCTTGACTAAACAGCCATTCCCTGCAAAGTTTCAACTTCGCAGCTTGTCTATTAGGTGAAATAGCTATTTCGCTGCAAGTACCTTTGAAGTGCCCTAAGTTGTAGCGCAGGTGCGGATCAAAACTCGATTTTCCAGATGAATGATAAATATTATAACCAATTTTTAGCCATTGCTTTCCGACCAGTTCTCAAGTTAGCGCATGCCAACTACTAACTTTGACGTGACTATACGCGTAGCATAGGCATGCGCAGTAGCTGCGTTTGAAATTTTTAGCTCACATTTGGAGAGAGAACATCCGTATAAAATCTCGGTTTTCTAGCTTGTCTGGTTCTCGAAATCATTTTCCGGCTATAAAATCTACATATTGCTTTTTGCGTTCGTAAATGAGATCCAGACTTATGTGAACGATGATTTCAGAGTGTGAGGATAATACTTATGCTGGGAAGATGCTTGCAAAAATTTCAGCATTCTGATTTTCATGGTTGCTGAGTTGAAAGTGGGTGATAAATTTCA